TGATGGGAATTGCTTTAAATTTGTAGATTGCTTTTGGCATTATGGTCATTTTCACAATATTGATTCTACCCATCCATGAGCATGAGATGTGTTTCCATTTGTGTCATCTGTGATTTCTTTCAGCAGTGGTTTGTAGTTTTCCTTGTAGAAATTTTTCACCTCCTTGGTTAGATATGTTAATTTTTTGCGCCTGTTGCAAAGGGATTGAGTTCTTGATTTGATTCTCAGCTTGGTCATTGTTGATGTATAGCAGTGCTGCTGATTTGTGTACATTGATTTTGTGTCCTGGAACTTTACTGACTCTAGTAAAAATGTCATAGATGGCTTTTATTACCTTGAGATATGTCCCTTCTGTGCCAGTTTTGCTTATTGACTTGTGTATGTTAAACCCACCCCTGCATCCCTAGTATGAAACCCACTTGATCATGATGTATTATCTTTTTGATATGCTGTTGGATTCGGTCAGCTGTTATTTTGTTGAGGATTTCTGCACCTGTGCTCATCAGGGATATTGGTCTGTAGTTTACTTTTGTTATATCCTTTCCTGGTTTTGGTATTAGGGTGATACTGGCTTCATAGAATGATTTAGGGAGGATTTTCTCTTTCTCTATCTTTTGGAATAGTTTAGTAAGATTGGTACCAGTTCTTCTTTGAATGCCTGATAGAATTCAACTCTGAATTCATCTGGTCCTGGACTTTTTGGTGGTGGTGTTGGCAGTTTTAAAAATTATTGTTTCAGTCTCGCTACTTGTTATTGTTCCATGCAGAGTTTTATTTTTTCTTGATTAAACCTAGGCAGGTTATGTATTTCCAGGAATGTATCCACCTCCTCTAGATTTTCTAGTATCTTTTTCCACCCCTTTACTTTATGTGAGTCTTTATGTGTTAGGTAAGTGTCTTGAAGACAGCAGATACTTGGTTGGTGTATTTTTAACCATTCTGCCATTCTGTATCTTTTAAGTGGAACATTTAGGCCATTTACATTCAACGTTAATATTGAGATGTGAGGTACTATTTTATTCATTGTGTTAGTTGTTGCCTGAATACTTTTTTTTTCATTGTGTTCTTGTTTTATGGGCCCTGTGAGATTTATGATTTAAGGAGGGTGTATTTTCAGGTTTTGTTTCAAGATTTAGAACTCCTTTTAGCATTTCTTAGTTGTGCTGGCTTGGTAGTGGTGAATTCTCTCAGCATTTGTTTGTCTGAAAAAGACTTTATCTCTTCTTAATTTATGAAGCTTAACTTTGCTGGATACAAAACTCATGGCCAGCAATTATTTTGTTTGAGGAAGCTAAAGATAGGACCCCAATCTCTTCTGGCTTGTAGGGTTTCTGAGGAGAAATCGGCTGTTAATCTGATAAGTTTTCCTTTGTTGGTTACCTGATGCTTTTGCCTCTCAGCTCTTAATATTCTTCCCTTTGTCTTCACTTGAGGTAATCTGATTACTGTGTGCCTGGGTGAAGATCTTTTTGCTATGAATTTCCCAGGTCTTCTTTGAGCTTTTTGTGTTTGAATTTCTAGATCTCTAGTGAGGCCAGGGAAGTTTTCCTCAGTTATTTTCTCAAATATGTTTTCCAGACTTTTAGATTTCTCTTCTTCCTCAAGAACACCGGTTATTCTTAGGTTTGGCTGTTTAGCATAATCTCAAATTTTTTAGAGGCTTTGTTCATTTTTGTTTTTTGATTTTTTTTTTTAATTTGTCTTTATTTGATTGGGTTAATTCTGTCACCCAGGCTGGAATGTGGTGGTGTGATCTTGGCTCACTGCAACCTCTGCCTCCTGGGCTGACTCAGCCTCCTTAGTAGCTGGGACTAGAGGTGTACACCACCATGCCCTGTTAATTTTTCTTTCTTTTCCTTTTTTTTTTTTTTTTTTTGTAGAGATGGGGTTTCACCATGTTGCCCAGGCTGGTTTTGAACTGGGCTCAAGCAATCTGCCCACCTCAGTCTTCCAAAGTTCTGAGATTGTAGGTATCAGCCACCACATCTGACCCAGGGGCAAACCATTTTATTTCTCAGAATGCAGTCTTGTCAGGATGAGATTATTAGGACGAGTTTTAGGCCAGTGTTAAGCACACAGCAGACACTCAGTTTTTGTTAGTCCTTGCATGTGTATTAATACAGGAGTGTGTGGGTATGTGTGTATTTGTAACATCTAGTGTCTGCTTATTTTTCGTGAATTCTGAAGTTTTCTTTTTTTCTTTATACTAGAATGAAAGGAGCAGAACAAATACAGCTACCCTTTCCTTCTGATGGTCCCTGAAGCTGTGGATTCTCCAGGCTTATCTGCTCTGCCATTCCTCACTCACACCTTGTTCATTCGTGCTTTAACATATTTTTCTCACATTTATCCATAATGCCTGCCTTCTCTTTTCTTCTTCTGTCATTTCAGACTGCTCAGTAGTTAATCCCACAAAGGCTTTCCTAATTAAGCTGATATATTTGTGATCAGTGCTTTCTATCTCATTGTAAATTTTGTGTGGTTACCTCTAGTTTGCCCATATTGTAAGTATAATTCATGCCTATGTGATATGCCTGTTCTTGCTAACTAGATGAAAAGCTCCTTGAAGACCTGTATAGGCTTTTTATGGCTTCTCTACATATACCCTCCCAGGGGCACAGTACTGTATACATAATAGATGTTTGAATTTTTTTAATTTCCAGATAGTAAAGGTACTTCTATGTTTCCTGATTTTAGACAGTTGCTAGTCTTAAGGACATGTGAATGCTGAGTCCTACCCAGAGAACATAAGAGGCCTGTTTGGCTTATCAGGAACCTCTGGCTCACTATTCTGAATATTTTGTTCTTTGCCAGCTTCGTAATAAACACTTATTCTTTTATTCTTCCCTGCTTTATTTGTGATTTACTTTGAAATTGAAATACCACACTGTAGTCTCTGTTTTATAAATTCACATTATATGTTTCTGTACACTGGTTACTTATCTACTTTTTATTTGTGTCATTATCTCTGCTGTTGGACTGCAAACTGGTGAATAGTAGCTATTTCTATTAGGATACTATCAGTTGCAACTAACAGAAAACTACCTCAGGCTTAAATTGTATAGGGGATGTGTTAACTTACATGTAACTGAAAGATCCAGAAGTGGTACAGACTACAAGCACAGTTTAATCAGGGCTTTTACATCATTTGTTTGCTGTTCTCCTTTTTGTATCAGCTTTTTCCTCATTCCGGCTTTCTTCTGAGTCCCAAAATGACTTAAGAATAAGATGCTGGCCGGATGCATTGGCTCACGCCTGTAATCCCAGCACTTTGGAAGGCCGAGGTGGGCAGATCATGAGGTCAGGAGATCGAGACCATCCTGGCTAACGTGGTGAAACCCTGTCTTTGCTAAAAATACAAAACATTAGCCGGGCATGGTGGTGGGCACCTGTAGTCGCAGCTACTCAGGAGGCTGAGGCAGGAGAATGGTGTCAACCGGGGATGCGGAGCTTGTAGTGAGCAGAGATCGCTCCACTGCACTCCAGCCTGGATGACAGAGCAAGACTAAAAAAAAAAAAAAAAAAAAAAAGAATAAAATGCTTTCTCAGGCACAGTTTGGGGAATGTGGGAGCCTCCCTGACAATCATGGAACAATTGTTTTACCCGGGTTCTGATTGGTCATTACCACATCCAGTCACTGTGGTGAACGAGAATGACCTGAGTCAAATGCCTGTCACTAAGTTCATCTGGGGGTTGGAGAGAGGGTTGCAGAGAGTCAGCCCCACCCAGTCCACGTGGTTGCTACACATGGGAAGAAGTAGAATGACTGACTACAGTATTCATGAAAACAGGATGGTTTCATATTTATTTATATCTCAACTGGTTCCCAAAAGTATTATATACATAGAACATATATCACAATATGCCTGTTTCCTCATTTCATCTAAGAGAGATGGAAGGTTCTGTCAGGGAAAGTTTAAAAATAGGAATAAGATGATTAACGTGAGATAAATCAGAAATATTTAATAAGGACCTCAATGAAGCTGAAAAAACAGAACCAGTGAAGTAGAGCCATAAGGAAGAAGTACTTAGTGAAAATGAGGCATTAGAAATGAGTGCTGAATAAGCTACAGTTAAGAAGTTACTCTGATACCTAGTTCACTACTCAGAACTTAGTAGTAGCAGTGCCTTTGCTCTCACAAGAGTGATTGAATAGGCTGTTCTCAGACATTTTCTATAATACCTCCATTATTTTAGTCCCTAAAATGAGACTAAATGAGATGCCCTGTTAGAAATGTGATCTTTTGTTTCTTTGAAATACAGTTTCACACTGTCATCCAGGCTGTAGTGCAGGGGCATGATCTCAGCTCACTGCAACCTCCGTCTCCCGGCTTCAAGCAATTCTCTTGCCTCAGCCTCCCAGGTAGCTGGGATCACAGGCGTGCGCCACCATGCCCGGCTAATTTTTGTATTATTAATAGAGACAGAGTTTCAACGTGTTGGCCAAGCTGGTCTCAAACACCTGACCTCAAGTGATTCGCCCTCCTCGGCATCCCGAAGTGCTGGGATTACAGGTGTGAGCCACCGCACCCGGCCAGAAATGTGTTGTGTTTTAAATCTCTCTTAGCAAATCCAAGCAGTAATGCTGTACAAGTGTCATTAGTCTTAAGCTTTATATGTATTTCAGACTTTGCTTGTCTTCCTCTGCTTATTTTTAAAATATCCAAAGATACTTCATTAGTTACCACAGGTTGAGTATCCCAATACAAACTGCTCTAAAATCTGAAACACTTTGAGCACTGATGTGATTCTCAGAAGAAGTGTTAATTGGAGGATTTTGGATTTTCAGGTTTAGGGATGCTCAGCCCTTAAGTATGTTATACAAGTATTCCAAAATCAGAAACGCTTCTGGTCCGAAGCATTTCGGATAAGGGATACTCAAACGTGTAGTGAGTTTTGTTATAAAATTTATTTGCAACTCAGACTGGGGAAAACTTTGTTTGTGCCAAAGTGTTTTAATAACTCTTCTCACATAATTGAATGATATTTTTCCCCCCAGGGAATGGATTTGTAAACTCAAGAGCTTCTCCAAATTTGATTGGAACTACTGGTGCAAATAGTTTAGGCAAAGTCATGCCTACGAAGTCTCCCCCTCCACCAGGTGGTGGTAATCTTGGAATGAACAGTAGAAAACCAGATCTTCGAGTTGTCATCCCCCCTTCAAGCAAGGGCATGATGCCTCCACTAGTAAGTTGAACCTTTCTTCAACTTCATTCTTTAAAACATGTATTTTATACATAGTCAGTCTGTAGCTTCCTTTGGAATTTTCTGTGCCACCATAGAATCTACACCTATTCCTAACAAATATTTCCATTCGAAATTAGTATTTGAAGAGACAAGTCTATTTCAAATACACAAAAATCAGATTATGGAAATTTGCTTAACGGTTATTTAAAATTAAAGCTAAATATGAACATGGTTGGAACTGGAGGTTATTAAGTGAAATAAGCCAGGCACAGAAAGATAGATACTGCATGATCTCACTCATATGTGAGTGAGACCTAACAAAATTGATCTTGTAGAGACAGAAAATAGAATGATAGCAGAGGCTGGGAAGGGTGTGTGGGTGGGATATGGGATGAAGAGAGGTTGATTCGTGGGTAAAAACATACACTTAGATACAACAAATATACCCCTGTATTTGATAGGAGAGAAGAGTGACTATAGTTAGCAACATTGCAGATGGAGTCTATTTCTGAGTAGCTAGAAGAGAGGACTTGAAATGTTCCCAACAAATAGAAAGTATAAATACTCAAGGTAATAGATACCCCAAATACCCTGACTTTGATCATTACACATTCTATGAATGTAACAAATATTCACATGTACCCCATTAATATGTAACACTTTTAGAGATTATTATGTTTAACTTTAATTTTACCAGGCTAGAAATATTAAACATGAGTTATTTATTCACTGTACTTTGTATACTTTCATTAATCAATTAAACATGCTTTTCTGTGAGAGAAGCACTAAACTATTAGTTAGAAAATTCTGCATACCAGGCAGGGTACAGTGGCTTACATCTGTAATCCCAGCACTTTGGGATGCCAGGGTGGGTGGATCACCTGAGGTCAGGAGTTCAAGACCAGCCTAGGCAACATTGTGAAACCCCATCTCTACTAAAAATACAAAAATTAGCTGGGTGTGGTGGTGTGTGCCTGTAATCCCAGCTACTCAGGAGGCTGAGGTAGGAGAATCACTTGAACCCAGGAGGTGGAGATTGCAGTAAGCCGAGATCATACCACTGCACTCCAGCCTGGGTGACAGAGCAAGACACTGTCTCAAAAAAAAAAAAAAATTCTGCATACCACAGAACTATTGTAGGATAGGGAAGAATGCACACAAACTTGAGTGAGTTATTCTCCAATTAATTTTATTTGCTTATTCCTTCTCAAATAACCTTTCTATTTAACTGTATAAAGAATGCAGGTAGCCTCTATTCCACTCCTTGATGACGGCTTTAGGGTTCTGGTCTCATTTGTTTTTGAGTCTTAAGTCTGTTTATAAAGAACAGGACAATATATTTATCCCCCTTAGCCTCTTGTAGAAAAAAAACTGGAATGTATAATCAAGTTTTAAAATCTCTTAGTTTAGCAACTGTTTGACTGCTAGCATACTAAATGATATGCCAGGTGTTCTCTCTACTGAGCAGTTGCTAAACTCACCATTAGAGTTTTTGCTAAGTGAAAGTGATGCTATCAGGCTTAGATAATAATTCCACATTGGTATAATGCTTTATAGATTTCAAAACACCTTCATGTGTATACTGTCTCATTTAATTCTCAGTTAGCTTGTGATCATTGCAAGGTAGAGATTAGGAAACTGAGTTAAAGGTTATTACTTGTCCAAGATAGTTCAAAATAGAGCCAGGACCAAATCTCTTTAAGTCTTATAGTCCAGGTCAAAAAACAAGTACTTTTTTATTTGGCGATACAGAAGTCTGGAAACAGTCACTCCCAGTCTTACAATTAAAAAAACTTGGATATACAGAAAGTTCATAGTTTTCCTCGAACTCATTATAGTGCTGAGATTTCAGGGCAACCAACTGGCCCAGATGCTCCAGAGTCAAAGATACTGTGAGGAGAGATGACATTTGAGCATTAGGCAAGACACAGATAGTAAGAGTTAAGCTAGGGTGATTGGTGAATTGCTGGAGACCAGGTGTACACTGACAGAACTGTGTGAAACTCCTGGGGGCCGCAGTATAAAACAGGGTGAGTCTGTGTTCTCTTGTAGACTTTTTTCTCCATGAATCCCGTGGGGTGCTCAGAAGCTCCTGCAAAGGTCTCGCTGTGGTACACAACTGGGAGAGGGGAAGAGTAGCTCTACACTAGGGGCAAAAAGTTTTGCCTGGATCTTTTTGTCTTCTTTCTCTAATATGGAACAAAAGCTTTAATCTTTAAGACGACGAACAACAAACATTATCACTCTTAGGGCACTGTTGAAATCCTGTTTAATGGAAAAGGCAAAATATCTTCAGCCAGTGGTGAAGGAACAGGAAGACATGCTCGGTATGGAGCAACGCCAGGAGAGTGGCAGGATGACTGAGAAGGCCACAGCCTGAGGCACAACAAGAGAGGGGATGACTTAAAGCTGAGAGTGGAGCAGTCACTAGGGGAAAATCTGGCATGCAGATAGATCCCCACCCCCAGAGGGATATGAAGCTTGTGGTAGGTGCCCTGATGGTAACCAGAGCAACAGTAAGGCTCAAACCTGGCCCAGCTTCTAATGAAATTAACTCGAGTCTTGCACTAATAGCTTAACAGGAGGGAAAAACCTGTAGGTCTATTAGTAGGAATTACCCATGCTGAAATACAAAGAGAAGAGTGAAAACAAGACAAAAAACAGAATGAAGTATCCAAGAGCTATGCGCCATTATCAAATGGCATAACATATTTATAATTGGACTTCCAAAAAGACAAGAGAGAACAGATTAGGAGTAATATTTTAAAAAATAACCAGTACCAAGCAGGATAAATACTACTGCCAACACACACACACACGCATACGCACACACACTCTCACTCTCAGACTGCTAAAAGCAAAAGATCAAGAGAATAATCTTAGAGAAGAGATATATTGTATACAGAAAAACAAGGATTAGTACCGTACTTTTTTCTTCACAAACTAAACTATGCAAGCAAGAAAAGGGGAGTAACATTGAACGTGCCGAAATTTTTTAAAAATTCCTCTCACCCCAAAATTCTCTACCCACCAAAAATATCTTTGAGAAATGACAATTTCCTCAAACAAAAGTCGGAGGAATTTATTGCCAGCAGACCTGCTCTACAAAAAATGTTAAAGGACTCTGATCCCAGCAAAAACTTGAGTCTACCCAAAGACCTGAACAGTGGAAATGCAATAAATGAAGACAAATAAAATCTGGTTTTCCCTACATTTTATAAACGTTTTATTTTTAGAACAATTTTAGATTTATAGAAAGATTGCAAAGATAGTACAGAAAGTTTTCATATACCCCACACATAGTTTTTTTCTGTCATTAACATTAGTATGGTGTATTTGTCACCACTATTGAACCAGTACTGATATGTTGTTATTAACTGAAATTCACACTTTATTCAGATTTATTTATTTTTAACCTTGTGTCTTTTTCTATTCTAGGATCCAATCCAGGATACCACATTACATTTAGCAATCATGTCTCTTTAGCCTCCTCTTGACTGTGAGAGTTTCTAAGACTTTCCTTGCTTTAATGACCTTG